AATATCCATCCAAAGCACAGTTACAATAACTAATATTTATATACGCCTTTCAAAACAGCATAAAAGAAAATCATATGTAATGTTAAAGCAAAGTAGAAGTTACAAACTGCATTTCAGAGCCTGCTAAACATTCTTTGGGGTAATAAATATAGTGTTATCTCCCTTTGACACTTGAAGTCTGTACCTAGATGACAAAGAAGCAAATTTCCTAGCAGTTCCTTTAAATTAGCCTGAAAATTTCTTTTAATAACAAACATGTTATCCTCTAAGCATACTGTATATGAAAATACTTGTATCTCATTCAGTGAAGGTGCAAGTAAGTTTGTAATGACCTAACATTATCAGAATAAATTATATGTAATAACCATTTTGGCATCAATACTGAGGTTTTCCACATAGCAAATTTATTTTCATTATTTCATGAATTTTGAACATCAGATCTCCATACTATTTTCAGCCTTTGATTATGAACTCTGGCTACATATATACAGACAATATAGCTGCCAGAGGGGATTGAACTGGAGGCCTTTTAGCATCAAAATATATTTTTTTATCTAAGGTCTGAAAGGCGGTCAATTCTTGACTACTTTGTTTTTGCACTTCAAAAATAGTACATGTTTGTTTCTAACTTTCCTCTTTCCTCACCTTGTAGTGTGAGTAGACTCAATCACATACGATTAAAATAATGTGACCATAACAGCATCCCAAGGCCAGAGGGCAAGGGGCTCCCTGGTATCTGGCAATGAATTTCAGCTGTCTTGACCAGTGTACACCAATTCATTGATTTCATGATCTGTATTTAAAATGTGCCCTGTAATATATCATTGGAAAACACACTGGTGAATAGTATCATTGTGAAATATATGTATTAATACTATATGTGGAGTTATAGATGTTCTCTTATAATGTTTTGAAGTATGTATTTGAAGTCGATAACAGGTCTGCCCAGCTCTTGAATACAAATGAAGCAGGTTTGATAAGTGACAATGGGATTGCAGTTTAGATGGTAAACAGAGCCATGAAAGCTCACAAGGTAGCTACAGAGTCAGCATGTCCAGGTCACAAAGGAATGAGTATTTGCTTGTCTGACCAGCCTGGTCATCAGGCAGAGACAATGATTAATACATGCAGGGTAAACAAAGCCACCAAGAGAGCAAGTGGGGAAAGGTGGCGACTTAACAATCTCCACTGGGGACGGAGATGGCACCCGCAGGAAGCCTTCCTCTTGCAGCAGGATCAATGAACTTTGAGAGATGCTTTTCAAAAACTAAAGAGGCCAGAGCTCTTGAGGTCACAGAAGGATGGGTCCTTCAGCCAAGGCAGATTGAAGTCTCTGGACATTGATTATAAGCAAGAAATCTGCTTAGGCAAAGATTGTAATTGGCTGAAATTAAGTTTTATTCTTAAAAGCATATTCCTACTTTGGTTTGTTTGTAATACTTTCTGACCTTTATTTCTTGTGCTTGGTATTACTTAACCTATAACTTTTGTTTAATAAACTTGTTTTACTTCTTACTGTAAACCAATCCCCTGCTTTGATTAGAATGAGGTGTTAGTTAACTCCAGTGAGGTGGTAAGCTGTTGATGTATTGTTACTTTAAAGGAAACAGCAAAGTTAATAATTTCTCTAAGAGTACCAGGAAAGGGCTGGATGCTTTAGGGCAGATGGTTTTGGGGAAATATGGGACTGGGGGTGTGTTTGGGGTCACCCCTGCATAAGGTAACTGGGCAATAGACTAGAATGAGTCTGTTGTGTTGTAGGTAGTTGCTGGGGTCTGAGCGCTGAATCAGAGCTGCAAAGCATGCAGATGCTCAGGGGACTGCATGCTTGTTTACTGGCTGTTGGTGTCCAGGCTGTGAGCCACAGCAGCAGAACATTTAAGGCACCCAAGGTTATAGGGCAGGAGGTGTCACAACCCCTCACTAGTCTGGATTGCACCTCAGAATGTGGCAAATAGACATAGAATCATAGGAGATTAGGGTTGGAAGAGACCTCAGGTGGTCATCTAGTCCAACCCCCTGCTCAAAACAGGACCAACCCCAACTAAATCCTGTTGCTTTGAAGATTACTTTTAGTGGAAGTTGTTGTCTCTTATCGGTAATTCAATAAATATAAGGATTTTGAGAAGTGTCTGCAGGTTGTCCTGGTTTGGATTAGGGTTTTTCATTTTAGGAAGAGCAGTAGCTCTTTCGTTTATTTATGGAAGTCTCTCCAGGTATAAGATTAACATATAAGCCATACTGCACCCTTGATTCAGACTGAGCCTCTAATTCTGCAATTGTCTGCATTCACGTATAGATTTCTGGCCTGATTTTTTTTTTTTTTTAATTAATTTAGAAGGCCTGGTGTATAATCAGTCTTGCATGTTGACTTTGCAGATTCCTTTTGCTATAATATGTCTGGATGAGGTCACATTTTTATTTGCTAATAAAATAGTACACTATGATCTGGTATGATACTGTATGTGAAACCACTGTATGTTGGGAAACAATGGAGAACATGAGCTGTTTTTGCTGAAAGGAGATATGGAGATCTAGATTTAAACTTCAGATTTCTACTAATATTTTCAATAGAAGATCCCTCTAGATCATAACTTTGTTTGTAAATTCTGAGCAAATGGTGATGTGATTTCAGGGGAAATGGCTGTTGGTAAGTCAACTTACCCTGATATTTGGTCATGTCTTGGTATTATATCGCACCTTGCAACAATGTTTTATGCTAATAAGTATTAAGATACATGTGGTGCATGGTAAAAATCTGGAAATATGAACTAGAGTTTACTACATTTAATTAGAGCTATTATTTGAAAGGGGTTTACTGATTAATAGACTAATGAACAGTAATCAATTGCTGGAAGCATTCTAGGAGGTTCATAAAGAACTGTATTCATCATTCTATTCAGCATGCCTGTCCTGCCGCAGAGGAATGTGTGTCTCTGGTTATCATTGCCAAACTGCATCTTCTGATTTCTAAAATAAAACCACTTGCTTAAAAGATTAGTTTGTTGTTTATGGGAAAAAAAGGGGCATCTAAAAAAAATGATACCCAAAAGCATGGTAGTTATAGTTTTGCATCCCTTTGCATGATACATCATGGAATTGAAGCCTCCTGTCACTTCTTTTTCTTTTATATTGTGTTAGTGAGAGAGTTCAAAGCATTTCTACAATGACAGATAATGACTCATATTTGTTACTATGCTTTTTCAGCCACTATTTATGTATGTTTATTTTCTCACCTTCATATAGTCCTCCTTGATTTTTGTCAGTGATTTTCCTCTTCTACTTAGAACCATGCTTCTGTGGATTCTATGGGACCTGGAGGGTAATGCAGAGAGATACTTTGTCTTCCTTAGATGCCCAGGACCTGCTGGGGTTTTTTGTACTGACAGGTTTGATGGGTTTTGACCCTGCCTGTTCCATTGTAGGAGGAAGGCATGAGAAGCAAACATCCTCTCAACTTACTGGAGAGATCTATGGTGAACTCTGCTGGTTGAAATTGTTTTGGCAAAAAAAATAAAAATAAAAGATTTGTCTAACATGGGGGAAATGTAGGCCAATGTCAGTGTACCATTGCATCTGGCCGTATTCGAAGTCCAGGCCTTGAGGCAACTCTGATACTTGAACTTTCACTAGATGAGAAATAGGTCTGATTTATACTCCGAACATTTTACATATGCACAACAGCTGTTCTGGCCTCAAATTTAAAGCACATGTTGCTGTGAAACCGTTTTTGGAGGATTGAGAGGTATTTATGCTTAGATTCAGTTATTCATTTCTTGCTGGTATAGGCTTTAGAGTACCATGGCTATTACTAAGTCCATTACTCTTGCTAGATGAACTCTGAATTTGGAATGGAAACATAATTCTAGGCACGTATATTTTCTTAAGTATTTGTGTAATTAAAGAATCTAGGTCTTTGGCAGAGACCTTAACATTTAAATGTTGCTACTGGAGTTCTGGTAAATGAGTCTGTTGAACTTTAAAGCATTTCTGAACACCGCAGATAGTGACACTGTTGTATAGGCTGAGTATGCATGATGGGGTTCTTCCTAACACCGTCTCAGGAACAGAAAGACGATTCAAGTGCAAACTATTAGAGAGCCTTAGAAAAGAGATCCCAGGAAGGATATGCCTCTGATTTGGCTTAGTCTTTGGATAGCCTGTTAGGTCTCTGAAAGCCTACCTTCAGACAGCATTTCCTCCAAATGTTAAATGTTTTCTTTAATAGCATTATTATACTTGAAAATTATACTTCTGGGAGTAATGTAATAGAACTGGCAAATACTATTTTTGAATACGGTGATGTCATTATTGGTTTCCATTAGAATTTAAATTGTTGATTTTTATCCATGTACCCCAAGTGCCTTTGGGTGAGACTGACTCTCCCTATCTGATACTGAGACAGAAACAGTCAGCAGCAGCATTGAGCTGGAGCTCTGTTGGCTCATAAGAGGAAGAACTTCTGGCAAAGTGTCCTCCATAAAGGGCCCTCCGTTTTGGAAATGCTTTTCCATCATTTGGAAAAGAAATAATAGTTCGACCTCCAGGGCATGCTACATTGCCTATCTGCTTACTAAGACACAAAGGTCCTATAAAAAATGATGTTTAATGGAGGAAAAGAATAATTTCTGAGCTTAATTTTTTATTTGGTCATTTTCTCGTTTGTAAGTTAGGAGTAGCTGCTGGTTTTGCTTTTGATTTGATGGTCATTTTAATTTTGGGCTAAGGTGCCCATAGCCCACGATGGATATTTTTCAATTATATCTAAATAAAAATTAAAATGGTGGAAGTATTACTGGCTGAAAAATCATATTGGCAGCTGGTATTCACCATGCTGTAGGGTTAACTAATCACCTTAGATTTATAAAGCACTTTCATCCTTAAAAATCTGAAAACTGTAGTGTTTCTCAGCACCAAAGAAAATTTGTACATTGACTGAATTAAAGATTTGACATTCTTAGCCATCATTCTCTGAACATACCTTTTTTTTTTTAAACTAGGCCTTGATGACTGCCTCCAGCAATACATTAAAAATTTTGAAAGGGAAAAAATCAATGGAGAACAGCTGTTGCACATCACTCATCAAGAACTTGAAGAACTGGGAGTCACTCGCATTGGACACCAAGAATTGATCTTAGAAGCAGTTGATCTGCTCTGTGCATTGGTAAGTAGGCTGTTTTTTGGGGACATTCATTTTAATAATATAGGCTTATGCATCTCCTAACCAAAGCTAAGATAATGAAGACTGCATGAAATACAGCACCTTCACCAATTCCTGCCTTACTTAAATATTGTTCCTTATTGCTTCAAAATAGGATGTATTTGCAGATGCTTCTGTAAGTACAAATGAATTAACCATTTTCCTTCTGAAAACGTTAATATTATTTTTAGTCTTTTTCCATAGATTGTCTTTGTCTTCTCCTTTAGCTTCTTGAGTGTCGTATTCATATGCCGTGCATGATCAGCACTGGCATCCTTATGGCCCAATGATTGTATACCATATGCCCTCACATTCCACTGAACTTTACCATAGTATAGTAAACCATATAGTTCCTGCATGTGCAAGGCATGCCAGCACTCTAGGAGTTAATGCAGAAATTGTGGAGGATGTGTGAATTAGACTGGAAGATGATTTTAAAATTAATTTTAAACCATTTTTGCAAAAATCACAATAGACTTTACCCTAAACATTAAATACTGACACCATGTGATCAGTTTGCTAGCTTTGTAGTAGCACAGTTTTAATGTGCAGAAGAGTCAAGTTTGGAAGCAAACTTATTTTCTGGCTGGTGAAAAGTTACTGAGTTACATACGCCCTGTTCAAGTTGTCTGGGTGCCAGTAATGTACTGTACTTTTTTTTCTCTTAAAATGCCTCCTACCAGTTGATAAAATTAAATGTAATGGTACCAATCTTAAAAAAACACCACCACCACCACCACCAAATGTTGTCTGAAGTTGTCCAGGTAAGGCTCAGAGGCAGAGGGACTTGGATACAAGAGAGTATAAATTGTAATTAAAAAGAGGGGCATGTTTTATATGTGATGAATAGTCTGGGAGCCCAGGCTTCAAATTTTTGGCTATGTAGTACCTCATATACAGAAAGCAACAACTGTTTTTTTGATAGAAGTGTCACTTCGGTACTTATCAAGGCTGTATGTGGTGGTGTAAAGCTGGAGAAAGGTATGCCAGTGCAAGATTTTTTCAATATGTATAGCCTCATAAAATGCCAAGACACTGTAGTCTTGATGACAAGTGTCCTAGACATCTTGCTGATATTCTTCATTACAGTAAAGACTGTACTCCATTCAATAGGTGATTCTGGCAGCACTGGATGGTGCTATTAAAATATTTTCATTAGGGCTATCAAACGATTAAAAAATGAATCAGGATTAATTGCAGTTTTAATTCCACTGTTAATAATAGAATACTGTACCATTTTATTTAAATATTTTGGGTGTTTTCTACATTTTGAAATATATTGATTTCAACTACAACATAGAATACAAAGTACAGTGCTCACTTTATATTATTATTTGTATTACAAATATTTGCACTTTAAAAAAGAAACAAAAAAGTAGTATTTTTCAATTCACCTCATAGTACTGTAGTGCAATCACTTTATCATGAAAGTGCAACTTACAAATGTATAATTATTTTTTTTTCCATAACTGCACTGGAAAAAAAAAAGTAAAACTTTAGAGCCTACAAGTCCACTCAGTCCTACTTCTTGTTCAGCCAATCACTAAGTTCATTTACAGGACACAGAATGTATTAGAATTTCTCCATGTTGTTTCTATCTTAGATCTCATTTCAAGGGATAAACATAAATGATTGATTGGATGTGCATGTGATTACAATCTAGTTGAATTATGTGTGGTGAGGTTCTATGGCCTCTGTCATGCAGGAGGTCAGATTACATTATCATAATGGTCCCTTCTGGTCTTAAATTTTATTAATATTAATCATATTGGGAGCAAGTTGAACATACTGGGAGTAGCTGTAAGAAAAACATTAACGAACATACAGAATTAGCTTTGATTATGGCTGTAATCCTTTTAATTTTTTTGGTGAACATTTTGGGAAGTTAAGGTTTATTTGTATGGAAAAACCATTTGGACCTGTATCTGAGATTAGTTTAATCACAAAATAAAACTTTAGGGGCAGAGACAGATGTAGCATTTAGATATTATGTTATCCAGTCAAAGAACAGTAACACTAGTCCATGAGCTAAATGAGCAATCACACAGCTCAAATATTGAATGTACACCTCTCATTCCTGAATTCATTTGGACAAGAGATCATCTTTGTGCTAACTGGAATAAGGCAAGTTGTTGGAAGTAGAGGGGTTGTTTGAGAAGGAGATGATGGGAGGAGGAAGTAGGAGCCAGGGACTTTGGTATTGCATAATGTGTGCTTTCATTACACTGGTCTACAATTTTTGAGAAGTCGTCTGCTTCAGAGATAAAATGTGCTATTGATTATGTATTTTGATGTGCCGAATTCAAAAATGACAATTAAAACAACTGATTGGCTACTGTTTCTAAGATATTTAAGTTTTTACGTTTTTTATGTCTATGTATATTGTGTAGATAGTAGAGTTTTAATCATAAATTGTAAACCTAGGTCTTTTCATGTGTTTATGGTTGCTTTACATGATAATATTTCACCTGTCCTGTTTATGTAACACTTTAAAAATCAGCAAAAGGGTTATATAAATAAAATTTATTATGAAACAAAAGGCAAAAAACTATTCTGTACATAGTTTAGTCCTATTCAGTGTCTACTCGGTGCTTCTTGGCTTGTCTCTTGTATTCTTTAAATGGAGCATCTCTTGTCACTGTCCAGCAATAGTCTGCAAGCATTGATGGGCTCCATTTGCCCTGATAGCGTTTCTCCATTGTTGCAATGTCCTGGTGAAATCGCTCGCCATGCTTATCGCTCACTGCTCCGCAGTTTGGTGGAAAAAAATCTAGATGAGAGTGCAAAAAATGTATCTTTAGTGACATGTTGCAACCAAGGCTTTTGTATGCCTCGAGGAGGTTTTCCACCAACAACCTGTAGTTGTCTGCCTTGTTGTTTCCGAGAAAATGTATTGCCACTAACTGGAGGGCTTTCCATGCCGTCTTTTCCTTGCCACTCAGTGCAAGGTCAAATGCATCATCTCAAAGAAGTTCACGAATCTGAGGACCAACAAAGACACCTTCCTTTATCT